ATGAAATGGTTGAGAAAGAACTTAAGAACTCCTGAAATGTGGAGGGTTGATGTACAGAGCACAGGTTGCAAAGGCAGATGAGATTTGGTGCTTTACAGGGTATCAAATGCTCTCACACTAACTATCTAACCTTGGAGGGGAGTAATGTCATTGCCTTTTATGCACTTAAGGAAGTAGGCCTTAGAAAGTCACGGGGCTAACAGTGGCTGGATATGGCCTCTGTTTGGCCTGCTATGTCCACTACAGAACTGGCCATGAGATCTTCATTTTCATGGTGCATGAAACTACCAGAGATGGCCTGATTATTGTGCAGGACATCTGGGTTCAGTCACCGGAAGGCTGGGGTGCACTGGGGAGCAAAGCTAGGGGTTTGTAAGAGGCCAATAGATTGTTCGCCTGAGCTCTAAAAGGGACAGCAGCCTCTCGCTTCTTCAGGCTCATTCCCTAGAGCCTCGCCCCTGAGAATCTCTTATTCTCTCTGGTTTCCTAACCAGAAGTCTAAATGGAAGCTGTTTGTTCTTTTTGTTCAAGACTTTAAATATTCATGAATCAGAGAGGGACCAGATCCCAACCTTTGAGCTGAGTAAGCTATCCACAGCCAAATGCTGAAGGACCCCTGCATGACATATGGCCACTCACATAAGCTTTCAAATTCTCTTTATTAAAAATCTTTTCCCCCTTTTGTAAAAACAAACACGTTGCAGTCAGTTATACAAATCAGGAAAAATGGTGATAATTTATAAGACACTCAACAAATTTCAGTACTTTACAAGTTCAAACTTAAATTAACGAGTGTTTTTCATTTTTTCTCATCAACTCACAAAACAAACTCTGGTCCAGTTCAAGTATAATCTAATAGATCACTACCTCGGACTGTCCAAGAATGGGAAACCCTGATATTAACAGCTGCTGCTCACACCAACATCAAGTTCACCAAATCCTTTGGGAGTATTCTCTGAATGCATTTTATTCCAGGTGTTAACAGTGAAAAGATAATGACCCAGGTCTTCGGTTGTATTAACCCAGGGCACAAATGAATCTGTTGCTCAAGGTAGCAACCTCTTTTGAGCCACCCTTTTGGGGAGACACTTTAAAATGGTTGACAAAAACACTGAAGAAATGCTTTACAAAAGAAATCATTATTTTCCTGGCTGCCTTTCATATACTGCATTGTATGTGACATACATAGGAATAAAAAGTGCAAATTATAGGGTCTGTGACGGGCCATCCCAATGGAACTGTATAAAAATAAATAGAAATAAATACGTGTGTATGTGTGTGTGTGTGTGTGTGTATACACACATACAAGTACAGGATCTCAGATGATTTTAAACTGAAGGTTCTAATTGAATGCAGAGACAGACTCTCCTCTCTCTCTCTCTCTCTCTCTCTCTCTCTCTCTCTCTCTCTCTCAGGGATTGTCCCCAACTTTCCAATATAAAGGTCAGTCTACCACAAAGGGAGCCATTGCATTGTATGGGGACCTACCACAGGGATTTCCACAGGGATACTGCAGGGGTGGAGGGCCAGGGGATTTAATGAGGTCTGCTCCTGCTTTCTGGGGATAAAGCATCCAGTTCCTCTAATAACAATGCTCAGCTCTAGCCTGTGATGGAGGAGGTAGGCTCTTCCCAGCAAGATTCAGTGAAGGGGCCAAACTGCTGCTCCCAGAATCCTCTTCAGTGGGAATAAATAAAGACACACAGGATCAACAGTTTTCTGAGAAATGGCTGGTGTTCAGAATGCTGGATTAAAACCTGTGGGGTGAGCCAGGGGTACAGTCTGGGCTGAGCCACAGCCTTCGGGGTCTTTTCGATTTGAGATGCCAACCTTCCTGAGGCCTCCTAGGCCTGCTGCTGGGCTCTGGTTTCTTGCTTCTTCCAACCTCTCCTCACCACTCCTGTCCAAACTGGCCTCTTTTCCTCTGGTAAGTGCCTTCACTCTTCTCTCTTCACTCAGGGACTACGTGCCTCAAGGTTTACCTGTGATTGGCTTCCATTTCTACATTTGTTTCTTCCGTACCTTGGTTTCCTCCTTGATCACATGTCAGCGTTGAACTAGATCATCTTTCCACCTTTCTTGCATTAGTGCAGAAGACAGAAGGTGCAGAATAAGGGGGAAATAAACCCCACATAATCCCTGCGCAGTCTACCTGCCCACATGGAGGAACAGAAATAACAGGAAGCTCCCAGGGGACAGACATCCATCTTTCTTGTCCCCTCCTAGGGCACTAAGCCGTGGAGGTGCAACTCATCTCCTGGAAAGGGCACTGGCTCTCTTCTTCCCGGGTTCCATCCATAGCCTTAGCAGAGCCTCATTTCTTCCAGCAATTTGTCCTAAATCCTTCCACTGGAATATCAGGCTGAGACCCTGCATCCCATCTGGGGCCATTGGCACTGACCCCATTGGGAATAAGGGCTCTTCTGTTCTTCGTAACGTTTTGACATCCGAGTCTGCACATCTGGTCAGCCCGGAGCAGCACTCCATCTTCTGCCCAGCTGGAAAGGACCCACCTACAAATACCTGGCAAACCTCAAGCCACTCTTCAGTCCTGTGGCCTTCTCTTAGCTCCCCGCCACAGAGGGACCATTTTAAAACCTCCCCACTTGTGAGGTCCCTGGACCCCCTGAGGGCAGGCACCCAGGGTGAGTCAAGGACAGATGCCGGTTCCTGGTTTTGGCATCTCTCCTGCCAATGCCGCATGGCAGAGGCCAGCGTTCAACCAGAGCCCACATCAGTTTGCTGTTCCAGCTGGAGGGAAAAGACACTCCTGTCCTCGTTTTTTAGTGAAAAATGAATCTATACCAGAATCACTGTCCAGAATAGAACAAATCCTGACAATCTCTGAAATTGAGAGGTAGGATATAACTTCAGAATTTGTCAGAGCTTCAACCATGCAGGGCTCTTATCTTCATAAAATCAAGCTGATTTTACTTTAAGGCATTTCAATCTGGTGGGTTTCTAGAATAACTGCGAGGAGAAAGAGCTATTTATAATAGGGACTTTTCAAAAAAGTGGGGTTCAGCCAAAAGGAGCAGTTAATGAAGCCACTCTCTGCTGCTGTCAACTGATTCTCTCTAGTGGCTCCTCTCAGGCCTGGGCTCCCCCACACAGGGCACCCAAAGGACATAGAGATGCCAGGCTGAGACTCCTGCTGCAGATTCCCAGAAAGAACTCTCCTGACCCAGGGTTTCCATTAAACCTCTTCCTTGCATGATTCAGTCTGGCCTGACCTGTTATATCCTATCAAGAATTTAAACACTCTGAAAATCCCTGAGAAGTTGGATTTTATGAAAAGGAAATGATTCTTGGCACAGGAGGAAGGAGATGGAGGAGGGAGCAAGAGGAAGAGAGAAAAGCAAATTGAACGATTGTGAGAGAGAAACTGGGGTCCAGAGGGGGAGAGTTGAGGGTGCCTTGGCTCATGGAGACACTTTAGGGGTTTTTAATGAGTCTCAGGCAGCGTGCACTGCCTGGTTTTTCTTCCTCTCTGCTTTAGTCCTGTCCGGGAGGCCCAGCCTCTGCAGGCCTCCTCTTCTACCTTCCAGCAGCAGCAGCAGCAACATCAGAGCCTCTTCCTTTCAAAGTGCGGCACGATTCCGCTGTCCTCAGGCCTGGGGCTGCCTGCCTCCTCTGTCTCCTTCAGGCCCTCCTCTGCCAACTGCGACAAGTATTTCTGTGATGAGGAAAGAGGGACAAAAGAGGCAGGGAGATGTCAGTGGTGACCTGAGGAGGGAGGAGAGGAAGGGGCGTGCCTGGGCCCAGTGGGTGGACCACCCTCTCCTGTTACTTGTGGGGCTACAGGACCCTGTTATGTTAGTTTACAAACAATATGAATCTCTCGTGGRAAAAGTATAGAGTATAGATACAAACCACTGCCACCCTGATCTGGCGCCAAGCTCTTTCTACCTGCCTGGTTACACACACTCCTGGAGGTCCATGACGGATTGAAATGGGCCTGTCTGCTCTGCGGCTGGGGGTTGCCTCCATGGCTCACAAAGTGCTCACAGCTAATGCTCTGGCCAAGCACCAAGAACCAGCTGGGTTTGCTGGTTCTGGAGTCCATGCAGAGACACAGGACTAGGAGAGGCCTGGGACCCCAGCTGGGTCCTCTGACTGTGTCAGGGCACAACAAGGACTTTGGAAAGAGCTCTAGACTAGGGGTTAGAAAGGGTTGGTCCAGCACAGAGGTTAAATGTTAAAGGCTCTGCCATCTGGTGACCTACGTTCAAATCCTGGCTCTCAGCAGGCAAGTGACTGAATATCCCTGACATGTGTGAAGTGAAGGTAACAGTGGGGACCTGGCGCAGGACTGCTGGGAAGTCCATGAGAGGCAACACAAAGCATTTGGCATGGTGCCAGGCACAGAGTGAGGGCTCGGGAATATCAATCTTTCTCATTAGGGGTGCTAATGATCTGGGGAAGTCCCTCATCTTCTCTCAGCCTCAGGTTCCTAATCTGTTAAGTGGAAGTGATAGTTTTTCCTCACCCCTCCCCCTGGGATGAGACTGTGGCTTTTGGAGGTGGTGCAGCCTGACAGGGACAGAGGCCACTGCAGGTGTCTGTGGGCCTGGTTGCTGCTGGGGAGCCTGGTTTCTCCTCTGCTTCAGCCAGGAAGGGGAGGTGGCCAATGGAGTGCAACGAGTATGGGCCTCCTCCTCTACAGGTCCTGGAGCCACGCCCATGTCCACTTTCTGTCGAGGGCAGCCTCCACCTGCCGTTCCACATCCCTCTGAGTGGATTCTCTCAGTGCCAGGAGTGGGGCATAGCAGGGGTGCCTCTGAGGGCATGGAGGCTCCTTCCCCCTGCTCTCTGCTCCAAGCGTGATCCGGCCCTACCTCAAGGCCTCCTGATGGGTGTTAACTTTACAAGTTGCCTGACTTAGGTRTCAGCCAGCACCTGCTGCTTGGGTCTGAATTCTTCACTATTCACACGTGTAGTTTGAAGTGGGTCAGGTGGAGCTGTACGCACAGAGACATTCTATAAAGGCCACTGACAGAAACCCTACCCGGGAGGACTCCGGTGGAGGCTTCCAGCTCCTGACAGATGCTCCAAGGAAACCTGAACTGTGGTTGGTCTGCAGGAGGGGCTTAGCCAATGTCTGCACCGGGTGGCTGGGGACCACAGGAGTGGTTCTGGCTAGCTAAGGGAGGGGAGTCTGCCTGGGGTTTGGCACAGAGGCCCAGAACACAGCATGGTCTACTGCCCTGCAAACAAAACAAAACAAACAACAAAAGCAAAACAATAAAACAAAAACAAAACAAAAATAGGCCCTGGCAAATCTGAACTCTCCGAATGACAATGACCTCAAACTGCTTGGTGTCTGGGAATGCAGGATAAAATAAGAGATTCTCCCATGAAGGTATCAGAACTTGCTGGAAAGATTGTTTAAAATGCAAATTCTTGAGCCCAGCCTAGAGGCAATGAGAAGGCAGGTGGCAGGGAGGTCCAAGGAGATGCACTTTTTAAAGATGCCAGCTGGGACACAGACTAAGGTTTGGGAAAACCAGGACCAGATGATCTCCAGGACCCTTCCAGCCCTGCCATTTCACAGGTCTCATTGTGTTGGGAAGAGGGCAGTGATATCTTCAGACTGGATGACTGTCCTCAGTTGGCTCTGTGGATCCCAGTGTGAACCCCCTTCTCTGGCCAACTCAGGCTTTATCCCCCTACCTCCCAGGAGAGGTGGGACCTGTGGCTGCCTTGGTCAGAGCAGCTGCTCTGCTCTCCAGAGGGAAATCAAAAGGCTTAAGTGGCCTGAGTTTGGGCACAGCCAACGATAGTGATTTACAAATGCTGACTCAGGCCGTGAAGTTACATGTCTCTATTTGCAAGCCCAGTTAATACAGTAAAAAGAGGAAAGTGACTAAGAATCAGGCAATCTAGGCCCAGTTACTTACTATCTGCCTGGCCTTTGACAAATCATAGGCTTCTCTATGAGCCTGTATCCTTGTTATAAAATGAGAGTCAACCCACATCTGAGGGTTTTTTTTTTTTTTTTAAATCTTTTTATTTTTTGGTACTAGGGATTGAACCCAAGGGCACTTTACCTGAACTACATCCCTAGTCCTTTTTTGTTTTTTCTTAATTTTGAGACAGGGTCTTGCTAAGTTGCTGAGGGTCTAAGTGGCTGAGACTGGCCTCTAACTTTCGATCCTCCTGCCTCAGGCTCCTGATTTTCTGGGATTACAGGCATGCATCACCATGCCCAGCTGAGTTTCTTAACACAGGATGCATATTCCAATTGTCTGGGGAAATTTCTCAAATTATATATTCCTGTCCATTCCCTGCCCTCAACTCTACTCAATATCTGACCTAGTACATGTACTTTCAAAAATATTGTCCAGGAAATTCCTGTTCTCATCCCTGGTGAAGTACAACCAGATAAGCCACTCTAACAATGTAACTGAAATAGTAATGCTTGGTTTGGAATTAGGGTGCAGATGCTATGGGGCTTGGAATTAGGGCACAGATACTATGGGGACTTTTTGAGCTGAGCTTGTAGAGTCAACCACAACTTGCTGCTTATAGTAAAAATGGAAAGTTCCTTGAGATGTTCATACCTGTCTGTTCAGTTGCTAAAACCTAGCCTGCACCAGAAATTAATCATGAAATCCCCATTCAAACATAATCTATATTAGGTAGGTCTACATTATAGAACACACTACCACGGTTCATTGATTTTTAAAAATACGTTAACATCTCTGAAATCACCATGCCTTTTACAGTTGATGGAGTCTTACTGTTGAATTCAAAGTATAGCTTTTTCTAGTTGATATCAAAAAGTGGTGTCTTGGGGCTGAGGATTTAGCTCAAGGGTAAAGTGTGTGCTTGGTATGCTCGAGGCCCTGTGTTCAACTCCTAGTACCACACACATAAACACAAACAGTGTCTCACAAATGATGGCAGATGAAATTGGATGAAATATGGTATATAGTATATTTTCATATGTAATCTTTTCATATACTATATCCATATTTATTTTAATTTGTTGTTTGTCTCCTACACTAAAACGGAAGCCCCTTGAGGACAGGGATTTTTCTGTTTTTGTGGCTGTATCTCCAGTGTCAGGTACATAATCTGCCTGTAATAATTACTGGCTCTCTGGATGAACATTAACTGGAACACAATCATGTTTTTCATTCTAGCAAAGAGGGCTACCTGCACAGCGGAAGAGAAACAGAAACATACCACCAGAGTTCATTGATTTTAGGACACCTTATGGTCAGTCCAGGTGTAGCTAGAACCACCGGGTCTGGTGGGAAGAGGTCAGCCCCAGCCTTGGGCCAGGAGACTCAAGCTATTCTGTCTAGCTGGTGAGGCAGATATTTAAAAAGCAGGCCCAAACGAAAGATGTAAGTACTAAAGGTGAGACGGATGCTCTGGGAGCCACCGGGTGGCGTGGCCTGGTATAGTCAGGGGTGATCCACATGGGAGGAGGACATAGAAACTCACGGAAGCAGACCTGAAGGGCCTGCCTGGGGAACGAAAGTCTCTGCGCCTTGGGTTTGCCTCGTGGGTGGGAGCGACAGTCAGAGGCAAGCGAGGCCGGAGACTCTGGAAGCCTGGCCTGAGCGCAGAGAATGGGGAATCCCAGAGAGTGCTGAGCAAGGAAGGCTGCTGGTTACCTGTAAGTTCCTGTAGTGGACAGCGCTGCGACAGTGGCTCACCTTCGCCGCCTCCTCGCTTGTGTAGAACAGCCCACACAGCTTGCAATAAAATCCCGTCCTGGGAACCACAAACTCCACACCTGAGGGAGGATGGGGAGGAACAGGCAGGTGTTAGGAAAGTGGTGGGAGGCCCCGTGGTCCGGTCAGCCACCAGAGGAACCCAGAGCACAGAGCTCCACCTCACTTGGTGTTGACTTTGGCTGGTTCCCGGGCTTCTCCAAGCCTTACCTCAGTGGCCTCATTTGCAAAACAGTCACAAAGAGGCCAGCCCCTGCTTCCTTCACGGTGGCTGTGGAGGTAAGGGCTGTGCCCCACCTGAGGTGGCGAGGGCTCAGCAATCACATGCTCTGCATCTTGCCTCTGGGAGGCCAGGCAGACTCTCCTACACCAACTTGCTTTCAGGGAAAGATAGAGGAAGGGCATTTCTGATGTTTCATTGCTTTGGGATTTCATTTCGCCACACTATATATACCCTTCTCTGAAGCTATTGTGACCAGGATTCTGAAAAAAAAAATTCTCTCAATTTTGTTTATTTCAGAAACATGTTCATTAAAGAAAAATGCTTAAATAATTAAAAGTGAAGGGAAAAACAGATCACCCCAAATCACTCCAACCCAGTTTCCTTTCGTGTGATTTATCTCCACGTAGAGCCTTTTACTTACTTACTTTCTTTCTTTCTTTTTTGCAGTTTTAATCATACCCTACATGCAATCCTGCATCCTCCCTTTTTCGCCGACAAGTGTATCTTACACATTTTACCACCTTCCTCCCATCTTTACATCTGATCCATCAGTTAACAGCATTTCCTTTGTGATTTTTAAAAATATAAGTCCTGGAATTCTGGGAGGCTTTTTTATTCAAAAGACACCCCCACACACACACACTCACACACCCCAACCATCGTGAAGTGACAGGGTCACAGTCAAAGGATTCATTTTTGAAGCAACGGTGGCTAGTCCAGCTTCTGTGAAGGTGTGTGGGAGGTCATGGCTTCCCTCTTGAAGACTTGGACAGGGGAATGGAGTGAGCCCAGGTCTGAGAGGGGCCAGGCCAGAGGTCAAGAGTCTATGAAAACTGGGACAAGTTAGCTGAACCCGGGGCCCAGTTTCCTCTCCTGAAAATCAGGGTCCGAAGAATACCATGCCCTGTGCCCTGTGCTGCAGAAGCTCCATCAAGACAGCAGGTGTAAGGACTGTGACAAGCAGGACCCCAGGGGCTCAGGCTCAGGCCCTCGGGTCCCACCTGGGGGTTGGGGACATGCTCTATGTGTGCTAAGGTAGGCAGAGCCAAGAGATCAGGCTCGCTGGGCAGAAGGAGAGAGGAACTCAGCTTCTCCTTACAGGGAGGGACAGGACAAGCTCCCACTGATGAGGGCCCTGAGTCTACTCCTGACCACAACCCCAGCCCCCCCCCCCTCACTTTCCTCCTCTGAGCTAAGTGCCTAGGAGACCCTGTCCTAGAGAAGCAGCCTGGACTCGTAATTAGAACTTTCCCTTCTCAGTAGAGCCACTTATTAGTGCTAAGGGACAGCCCTGACAGAGAAGAGGAGAGAGGGAGAGAACCCAGGAGGCCCCTGGCTGCCCRCGGCCTGCCTTGACCATGACTGCGCTGTGGTTTGGGCCCTGGGTTTTCTCTCACGGCCACGGAGCTGGCCAGCAGGGCCCTCCGAGTCCACAGCAGTAGTGAGCAGGTGTCCCTCAGGTCCAACTGCCCAGAGGGGGCTGAATGTCCTTCCCCTTCTCCTTTCCCCAACCCCTGACTGCAGAAGATGGACATGTGGCCTTTCCTGGGCCAGTTGTCCCCTCCACCCCACAAATAAGGTCCTGCTGCTGCTGGGGAAGAGCTTTAGGCAAGGCCCACCTCCTTCCCCCAGGGCCACCTACAACAGTCTTGGGCTGGCTGCTCCTCGGGGCCCACACAATCCGTGGACAGAGGGCTTTGATCAGTCCCCTCCTCTGTCCCACACTAGACCCTGTAGGCCAACAGGGTGGCCTGGAACAGAGCCCTGGAGTTTCCACTACAGGCCCTGGCCAAGCCTCTCAGTCCCTGTCTTGGGACCCCCAGAAGGGGTGCAGCTGCCTCAGGAGTCCCCACAGAGCCTGAAGCAAGAACTGAGCTGGCAGCTGCTGTGCCTTGCAATCTGAGCTGCGCAGCTATCATCTATGGGGTTCTGGGTGAGATTTCACTTCCACAAAGGCTTCCGTTGCCAAAAGGCGGGCGAGGGGAGACTTGGAAGAAACCACAGTACAGTGGAGAAAATATGGCATTTAGAGTCAGATAAGCCTAGCTCTTTTACCTACGCTGTGTGACCTTGGGCACATTAGTTAACCTCTCTGGGCTTGGTTTCCTTATCTGTAAAATAGGAATAATCAGACCACATATGATGCCATGGGAAGCACCTGTCAGTTTTCCTGTATTCGTTTGGAAACACATGTTAAATATTTCTTCACACAAGCCAAGTGCCTAATTACTGGCCCTCTTGCCTGCCCCCACCCTTCCCCAAAGCCACCTAGAGAACTGGATCTACAGTTTGTATCAACTTTCTTCTCTGGCCCCGCCCAGTGAGTTGGATCACAGTCTAAGGACAGGGAAAGAGAAGCTAGGGTGGGAGAATTCCCCCAAAGACTGGTGGTCCACTCAGATTAAGTGGGAATAATGCAGGCACCATGTGGCCATACCACTGCTTCAAGGGGCCTCTAGAATGTGGGATCACGGAGTGGCCAGCACCCCAGAAACACGGCTGTGGCCCCAACATGCTCTGGAGTCACTCGGTCCTCCCAGTTTTCAGCCTCTGTTAAGTACGATCATTAAAGCTGCCTTTGCCTTCTAATAATAGCTCCTGGCAGGGTAATTATGACTCTGCCATCCTAGCGAAGCCTGGTGTGCAGGGAGGGGAAGCTCACTCTTTATCCGCAGTGCTGCTGGGTCCTGGGAAGAGCAGGCCTTGGCAGGCTCCGGCTGCCTGGGGTCACACAGAGCCAGCCTCAATCACATGAGCAGCTCCCGCCCCAGCCACGCCTGCCCCAGCGTCTGGCAATGGGTCTGACCTCCCTTTCCTCCCAGTGGGGTGCCTAGTCCTTGGCACCCCTCATTTTACCTCCTTACTCTTCTCAGAGACAAAATCTGAAAATGATGTCACCTCCCTGGAAATCTCTCTGCAAGCAGGGACCAGTCTTGGAGGGCAAAGGGTTCACAACCCCAGTAGGTAGGAAGCATAGTAGGTCTCAAAGACTATTTCATGAATAAACAGTCACAATAGATAACCCTTAGTAAGTACCTCCTACTGGCAGGCACCAAGCCCTCACGCGGATCCGTTCCTTCAGTCCTCAAAATAACTCTACGTGGCAGGTTTCTATTACTGTGATTTATAGGGGAAGAAACCCAAGCGGAGGTGAAATGAGTTACTCTTTGTCACTCAGCCATTAGGTGGTAGAGGCAGGATCTGAACCCTGGGAACCAGACACCACAGTCTGTGCTCTTAACTTCTGCACAGAAACTGCCTTTTGAACACTGCACTGTTGTTGCCTGAAATGATTCCGAACCTCTATGTTAGAGATAACACTTGCCCCTTTGGAGGACAGGAAGGCAGGGTGGTCAGAGAGCAGACATCCTGAGTTTGAAGTTGAACTTGCTGTATGAACTTGAGAAAGTCTCCAGACTTCAGTTTTCTCACCTCTTAATCACAGAAAAATAGAATCATGTCGGTTCTAATGAGCTATGGGGCCTCTAAGCTAACTGAAGACAATCTGTCTAAAGCGAAAAACAACCCAAACTAAGTAAATGAATCAACAGAATGTGATGTATCCACATCCGGAAGGCAGTTTTCCTCAACAACAAAAAGAAACAAACTATCAATACGCTCCTCCCCACAGATGTATCTTCTTATTAGGGGAAATAAAAGCAGTTGGGCAAACCCACAATTTATATACTATAGGGTTTCCTTTATATAAAATTCTAGAAAATGCAAACAAATATTTAGTGTCAGAAAGCAGATCAGTAGCTGCCTAGGGATTGAGGTGGGGGAGGGAGGGATTACAGGGAATCTCAGGAAGTTTGGGGGTGATGAACATGTCCAGTACCTTGATTGTGATGATGGTCTCACAGGTACATATACGTGTCAAAACCCATCACACTGTACCTTTAAATATGTGCACTCCATTGTATGTCAATTATACCTCAATATAACAATTTTTAAAAATGAGATATCATTTTCCTTGTAACAGGCTGGCCAAGATTGCAAGCTAAAAACACCAAAGTTGGCAAAGAGGTGGGGAATAGGAACTCTCCTTCAAGGTGAGTGAAAACTGATATCATCTTTTTGAAGTGCAATTTTGTAACAATTATAAAAATTTTAAATGCAAATACAGATGGCCCACAGCTCCCTGCCCGCTGCTAGCACCCAGTCCCACAGCAGTGCTGGCAGCCATTCAAAGGTGACCGAACAAGCACATCTGGAGGGCAACAGGGACGGAGTGAGAATGTGGTTCTAGAATTTGAATCCTGACTCCAGTCTTTACCAATTGTTAGTTTTGTGAGTCTGCATCCCAGGTTCCTGAACTGTAAAGTAGGGATAAAGACATCACCTGCCTCACGGGTGTTGTGAACAGTTTAAGAGAAACAGTACATGCCAAGGATTGGAACGCTGTCTATAGGGTGAGCAATGACAATAAAAACAGCGATGACAGCATTTCATCATGAAAAGAAAAAAAAAAAAAACATGGAAGACAACCTAAACACTCATCAGTGGAGGAAAGAATCAATTAATTTGCGGCACGGGTTTTTAAGATAGAATATTTGCAGCCGTTAAAAAGCATGTGTTCTCTGTGTCCTGAAACAGAGATCTCTGAGACCCACTGTTCAGTGAAGACAGCAAATCATGGAACATGATGTGAATAGCATGATCCTATTTTGGTGCGAGAAAAACTCTCCGTGGGCCTGACAGTGGCTGCCTGCGGGCTGGGGAGAGGCTGGGGAGATGAGCTAAGGCCTTGAACACTGACTTCATGTGGTTCTCAATGTTTGAAGGTGTTTCAATAATCTTTCACAATTTCTATAATGAAACACAATAATACAAAGATGAACTACAAGGTAGCAGAATTTGCCTTTAAATTTTTGCTTGTGTCAATTGAATTTCAAGTTCTTGGATGACATAAGACTTGGGGTACACCCTCGGTGGGTTGCCCCACAGTGCCCGGTACAGTGTCGGGGTGTCCAGAGTGGACTGACTGAATGGCTGAGTGGACTGTGGCCTCTGAGAGGCAGGCTTGGCAACGGTTTGTCCAAGTTTAAAATATCTAGCAGCATCGTGATTCATTTCTTTCTTTCTTTTTTTTTTTTTTTTTTTAGTTTCTGCCTTGGGAGACGCTGTGCTACAAATTAATCCCTTAAAAAAAAAAAAAGAAAAAAGAAAAATCTAATTCTTCACGAGTGTACAGTACACTTGGCAGAAAGAATCAGTGAAAGCTCTTTTGTTTCTTTTTAAAGGAGAAGAAAAAAAAAAAAAGGAGAAACTTGGATGGAAGGGGTGAGCCCCCACCCAGATGAGCCCTCCCCGAGTGGGGCCCTGTGGTCACGGGTGCCATTGGCTCATGGAGCTTCCTTATGATGCTTTCCCACTGACATCTTCCCAAGCTCTTCCTCCAAGAACTGCTGTTCCTCCGTGTGTTGCCTTCCAGCCTGCCAGAGTCCATGCAAAGACTCCAAGATGATGAGGCTGGAGTGAGTCATGGTGGCATCAGGGAACTCAGGGAACTTTCTTTTTCTTTCTTTCCTCTTTATTTTTTTCTCCCTGCTGTGGATTGAACCCAGGGGCACTCTACCACAGAGTCCCCAGCCCTTTTTATTGATTATTTTGAGACAGCTTCTTGCTAAGTTTTAGAGGCTGGACTCCAACTTATGATCCTCCTGCCTTCGCCTCCCAAGTTACCAGGATTACCAGTGTGCACCCCCACCATGCTCGGCCCAGGGAACTTTTTAAAAGTCCCGTTCCTCTTATCCTGAGACGCTACCTAATTCTCCCTTTTAAAAAAAAGTGTCCTAGGTGGTACTATCACACTTCCTCCTGCCCTGTCCCCATTTCCACCCTTGAAAAATCACTGATCAGGTCCGATTCCATGTTACAGGTGAGAAAACTCAGGCTCGGGAGGGTATGACTTGTCTGAAGGCACACCGTCACCCGTCAATGGAACAGGAAGGACAGGGACCTAGGCCTCTTTGTGTTCAAAGCTCCTTTATCAACCATCTACTCTGCCCCAGTCACAGTCTAGTCAGCGTCACTGAATGCCTCAGACAGGCTGGTCCTTCAAAGAGAAAAACTGTAGCAGTGTTCTGGGAAGGTCAGGGACAAGGAGAAGATAGCCGCAGAGGAGTTTCATTTCTGTTGATTATGTGGAGGCCGCTGGGCCTCTATTCCCTGCCTGAACAGGGGCTGGATTTAGCCTTTCTGGAGGTCAAGAATAGAGCATTCTCTGACAGGGAGAACAGTGCTGTCCAGGCCTGGTCCCGTGGAGTATCTGGTCTACTGCGGGCATCTGAAATTGCAAGAGACCTTAAAGGAGCATTTTGCCCATCTGGGCTGTGGCATCAGACATTAAAAAAAAAAAAAATCCGGCAAGGACAAAATGACAGAAAGCCCTGTGTGTGTGTGTGTGTGGGGGGGGGTGTAGTAAACAGGGAACTGTCACTTCCTGGAGTCGGATTTCAGGAAAGACTGCATTTCACCTACCCAGAGGAATGCTGAGTTCACTGAACACATCCTCCGGCTCCCAAGAAGGCAGGAGCAGGGGCTCTTTCAGCTCCACCTCAGAGTAGTCTGGTGATCTCAGGTCTCGAGATTTCACTTCCACATACCTGGGGTTTTCTGCAAAACATGAGCCAAGCCAAAAAAAAAACGAATGAAACCCAGCATGCCTCAGAGAGTCCCTGTAATTCTGTCCCTTGCAACTGTGTGATTGGGAATTGTCCCTTGGACTGCTTAATCACATGAGGCTGGGCTGATGACTGCTAATTAGAACCAAAGCGCTATAATTAAGAGCGTTTTCACCGCCAGAAGAACTCCACACACAGGACTGCTTGGCAAGTCTTCAGGCTCGTCCTAGGGGGATGGGCTGCTGAGGCCTTCAGCTGGGATGATCCACACCCCACCCCTCCCAGTGTCCCCCAAATCAGGATCGCTCCTTCTCTGCAGGCACAGGAATTGTTGAAGGGCAATTGTGTTGACATCCAGGGAGGCTGGGACAACAGGAAAGCCATTCTCACCCCAGGCTTACGAAGCAGCAGTGATGGGGTAAGCTAATAAACCTCTAACACCGGCACATGTGGAGACCTAGGCTGCAGAATAAAAGGGGTTCCACTGGAGAGCTGAAACTGTCGGCACCCCTTTATTCCTGCCTCCTCTAGTCAGTCTGGGCCTCCTGGTTCCTCTAGCAACAAACAGGCAGCTCAGTGGCAGAGTTTCCATGGAGACTCGGATCCCAGCAGGTGAAAAACAGCTCAGGTCAGCTTGACACAGARGAAGAGTCCCACCCCCCAGGTCCCCTACAGCTTGGGCCACCCACAGGGTCTGGGTTGAAATGTTTAGTTTTCAGCCTTTCCTCTGCGGGTTCTGCCCCGTGGCCCTGACTTCAACCTCCTTGAAGCCACGAGCTTTCTGTAAAATGAATCTCTAGTTATTTTCACTATGAGACTTTTCAGGGCTACTCTCCCTCCCTCTCTCCCTCCCTCCCCCGCAGAGCCCTTGATGGATCTCGGTTTCCACTTGGCAGAGAAGCCAGGGCTTAGCCTATTTTAAACTCTCTATTTCATGATGTCACAGTGCCCAGCATAGACACAACATCACCTCCGGTGGAGGCGGAGTCGTTCCTGGGACGAATCTTGTATCCCTGTCAGACCCTGGAGAAAAATGGACCTGAGATAGTAAGAAGCAGAATAAGCCATACCCTTGGCCAGGCCCTGTTCCTTCCCTGTCCCTTCTCTCCTGCCACACTCCCTTGCCCATCACAGAAAAAACAGCCAGGGGTCCCCCACATGCAGGCAGGAGCAGCTGGCTGATCCCAAGGAACCCAAACTCATTTTGCTCAGAATTCAAGCTAATTTTAGTTGTCCAAACCCACTGGGCTCCCGTAAAGGCAGAGTGGTCCAGCCTGTCTGAGTTTGCTTCTCCAAGCCCAGGCCACCTCCTGTCTGATTTCCTTTACACCATTTGCCCCAAAGCTCTTAAGAGTTTTACTAGGCTCTTTACGGTTTGGCTTCCGTTAGTAAATGACTTTCTGCACCGGCTTCAAGGCAAGTCGAAAGCTCCCTTGGTTTTGCTCCAGCCTGCACATGCCCATCCTTCTTGAGGGGAGCCAGGGTCGGATCCACCCCACCGCCCGTGAGAAAGGGGAGGTAGTTACCCTCGGTCAACACTCCTGGGCAAGGCTGGCCTTGGAGGTCGGTTTCAGGAGTGGGGCTGGCTTTCTCCTCCAGGGGGCTGCCTTCACCAGCCCCATCTTCGGGGGTCCCCCTGGCCTTGCAGTCATCAAGAAATGGGCTCTGCTGTCGGGCCCTCTCCTCGGCTGGCTGGGGGGAAGACATTTGCTGGGCTGTAGTAGAGGCCAGACAAACATCTGAGCTCTGCGCTCCCTTTGCCTCCTTCTCGTAGCAATCTGAATCCTCCAGTGAGAGGCCTGTCTCGCGTTCAGCTGGCTTCCGCTCAGCGTCCAGATTTAGGCCAGGCATCTCCACGTCCGTGTCACTGGGACAGCTCGTGGGAGCCGAGGGCAGTTGTCTGGGCAGCTTGAGGCTGATCTCTGCAGCCCCGTTCCCTACGGTCTTGACTTCCTCCCCGGGGAAATCCTCGGCCAAGTCCAGGTCCAAGGTGGTCGTCACACAGGGACAGATTTCAGGGCAGATTTTGTCTTTCTGGTCCATCGGCATAATTTCTTCCAGTTCTGGGATGTCTGGCTCCATGATAAAATCTTCTTCTTCCCCCACCTCGTCCACTGTGACGAGCTCCTCCATATTCGTGGGGTACCAGTTCTCGCCCTCGGCCTCACTTCCACTCTCCCAATCTTGCTCCTGTGTAAGAATGTAGAACGGAGGTCAGAGAGCGGCGGAGGCATCCAACCGGGGGACACCAACCTTGGCCATAAGGACCCCTCACACCAGAAAGGTCCTCAGCCTTCTTTCCTCTACCTGAGAACAATTACTAGGTCATTGGAAGCTGTGAGCCGCTCAAGTCTCACATCACTGACACAGGCTGAGGATGAGACTCAAAATGGCACAGGATTTAGAACAGATGCTTCATGCTTAATCTACCACGTGGAAAAATGAGACCAAGAATTTCAATCCCCAGTACATAATAGATGCTCGATAAACAGGTTCCCAATGAATGAATACATCATACATGTGAACTGCCTGCTGGAGCCAACTCCTTGTCCGTGGGGACACCATTAAAGGTCACTGTGACATAGTCCCTCACACAATTCCTCTGAGCAGCCTCTCCCAGGAAGGCCAAAATCTCCCGAGCCACAGCAACTTCCACCCTCACCCTCAACCCCTCCTAAGGTTTTCCCCCTGGTGTTCCTTGTAGCTCATGGACTCAGCGGACAGATTTGGGAGATCAGCTGTTCCTGACCGGAAAGGTACAAAGCCAGACATGTTCCAAGAACTCTCCCCCCACCTGCCGGGGGTGCTCCAGCCCAGGAGGACTGTAAATGTTTTTACCTTTTTAATTAAATAAAATAACCGTCACAAGCACAGTCGGTGTCTTGCTATGCCCCAGGTCTGGGTCTGCGGAGGTCAGGACCCCAGCTCGAGTACTGAAGCACCGGCTCCCTGTCTCCCGAGGGACCTGCTTATTTGGAGAGACTGGCTCTGGAGCCGAGTCTTTGGGGGGGGGGCATGTTCTCTCTCAGGTGCGCAGCCAAGTCACTGGAGAGTGAGGCAGGGCCCAGCAAGTGGGTAAAGATCCCCCAGGAAAGACAATCCCAAGACCCCAGGCAAAGCCACCCCTGCAAGAGGAGGTGAGGGGACTGGGTCACTCACAGAGCCACGGGTGGGGGCTCAGCCACATTCAGCGCAGCTGGTCATTGGCAAGCAGGGTGGGGACTCCCGGACCTCTGGCCGAAGCACAGATGGCACTACGCTGCCAGTATCTGGGACTAGTTTACCTTCTTTGTCCTTGTGTTCTCCGGGTCAGAGGACTCTGTCTCTTTCTCCTCTCTGCCCACTGACTGGGGGCTTCCTTCCGTGCCCTCCTGCTCCAAAGGAAGAACAGAACAAACAGAATCAAGAGTGAGCAGAGGCAGGGAAAGAGGGAACACCCAGAGAAGAACGCCACTGAGCACGGCTGGCCCTTATTTCCCCTTTCCTTACGGAACCCCCCAGACCCAGCCATTGTGATCATCCTGATTTCACGAAGGAGGAAACTGAGGCTCAGAGAGGTTAAGTACCTTGCTCACAACACACAGAGGCAGAGAAATGTCTTAAAGTCTGGTCTGACGTCTTCAGGGGGCAGAGTCCTTGGTGAACTGGATGGGTTTTTTGTTTGTTTGTTTGTTTGTTTTTGCAGTGAGGGTGAATTGAAGAAGCCAAGGGTAAACTGAGTCCAGGTGACCATCCTGGTGACATCTCCCCAACAGACCCATCCTGCCCCTAAAAATATCACATGTGGCCACTCGTGGGCAGGGAGGGGCTGTCACCCAGGCAGTGCTTCTCACCTCTTGTGCCCTGTCTCTGTCCTACAGCCTTAGCCAAGCTCACGCTCCCTTTCTTGTCTTCCTCCTTCCGTTCCTTCCCCATTTAAGGTCCTCCCAGTCGTGCCCACGAATGAGAAACTGAACACCTGAAAGCAGCTGTTTGGCTCCGGAAAGAGGCTTCTCGCCTTCTACAGGGGTCAGCCATCGGGAGTCCACAGGCCAGACCCGACCTGCTGCCTGCATGTGAGCTAAGACCGGAAATTATAATGTCCAACAGTTTCATCTTAAACAGTTACATAAGTACCCACATAAAATCCTCACAATATTTCCCATCTGATCCTTTGTAGAAAAGGCTTGCCAATCCCTACTTTGGAAGTTTCTCCCATGACTTAAGCTTTGGTCATCAAATCAAGGACTACTCCTGAGGGCAAGTTGCATTTTCTTGACATTTTTGGCTGAGACTGGTTCAAAGTAAATGACCCCAGCTCTAATGACTTCCAACCGGACACGCCCCCTTGGGCTGACAAGGAGCCAGTTGGGGCAGGCGCCCAGGGCTGACCGGTTTAACTTGTTAGGACCAGACAGGAACAGATAGTTCAAATTGTCAAGGCTTTGTTCTTCTCAGTGTTTGGAGACACAAATTCTACCAAAAGCTTTGGCTCAAGTCTTCTGACTTAAGTGTGAAGGGGCTTCAGATAACCTTTTCAGCCATGGGAAGCCATAGCTTCTACCAAATGTGACCACTTTTCTTTATTTCCCTTAATAAATTATTCATGTCCCTCCCCTGTTAAAATAAATAGTCCTTACCCTTCACAAGCAGTCTGTGCAAAAACACATTCCTAAGGACAAGGGTCAAGCTGGAAGAAGCAGGGACAGCCTAGGGGACCTGGCTGGAAGCCCCCAAGGAGGCAGAACCCTGCCCTTCCTCCCTGTAGGTGAAGGAACAAGGCAGTGCCATCTAGGGCTTCCTTCTGCCCTGGGGTCATTTCCAGGTAAAAGACAAATGCACCCATGTACCCAGCTGCCCCACACCAGCTCAAGAATAAGTATTAGGTCCCAACAATTTCCAATAGAGCCCTGCTAAACCACCTCCTGACTGGTCTCCCACTTCTGATCTGTACCCTCTCCCAAATCTACTCTCTCTAAGGCAATCAAGAATAACCATTCTAGGGGCTGGGCATATAGCTCAGTTGGTAGAGTGATTGCCTTGCACGCACAAGGCCGGGGGTTCAATCCACAGCACCAACACACACATACACACAAAAAATTTGAAAATGCAACAAGTATCATATCTTCACTTCCTTGACAAAATGTTTCATTTGCTTCCCTGGCATTTAGGATAAAGGCAAACATCTTTAATCTGCCTACAAGGTGAATGATTAGTTGCTGTGCACAAATCAGCCTCCCCTCCCAGCATGCTGACCTGGCCCTCTGCTCCAGCAACACAGGCTTCTGGCCACACATGGAGCCATTGCATAGGCTGCTCCCTCTGTCTGACCTTCCTTTTCACCCAAGAAATACTTACTATTCCTTCACATCCCAACAGGCACATCCTAACCCAGGGACACCTCGGTTCCTTGCAGGTACTGACAGTGCCATCCCCCTCTCTCTTCGGCACTTCACACTGATGCTGTTCTGTTTGAGAATGACTTCATTAGCAAGTCCTTCTACTAGATGACTGTAGGCTCCAGGAGATCAGAAGTCAGTGCTACTTTACTCACAACTAGTGACCATGGATATTGGTCAATAAAAAAATGGATTTGATAGAAGGGATCGGGGTGAATAACAAAATGCACCTGCTTCAGAGCATGCTGGGGTCTCTGTATGGACAATATAGCTGGTTTTTCCATGTATTCTTCTTATGGATTGTTTATGCTGGGGTTTGCATTCTGAGGGTCTCTGGGCTGCAGGTGATCCACAGACATGTTTTGGTCTACACAGTTTGGAAAGCATGGGAAACTTCATACAGATATCTGGACTTGGGTCTTGCTCCAAGAAAAGGAGATCTAATAGCAGGAGGCAGGCATTCCTAAATGACAGTTATAGACTACAGCTGAGCAGCTGCTGGCTGCCCCCCGACAGACAGGCACCAGACATGGTCCCAGCTCTCCCAACTGGCCCCACTCTTCTATCCTTCCCGGACCTGCCTGGCTTCCCTAACCTGAGTGTCTGGGTCTAGTAAAATGGATAGCTTCTTTCCCATGCTTTCTTTACTTAGAGACATGGTTTCTTTCCTTCCTCCTGGGGTGCCGTGGTCAGGACTAAGTTTCATGTATGGACACAGCCCCTGGAGAACACTAAGTAAGTGCACACCTGGGCTTTTCCACTGTGGACACTCTCTCCAGAGAGCTCCCATCTCTGATGAGCACACACTCATTAAAGTGCTACAACCACCTTGTGACCATGTCACATTTTTATAATAAAAAAACAAGGAGGCAGAGAACAGGGTGTGCCCTAATTCTCAGAAGCCAGGCCTTCGCTGTCAGTGTCTTGGCTCCTTCCTTCGTTCTCTCAACAATGCTTATCAAATGCCTCCTCTGTGCCAAGCCCTATGCCACGAACCAGGACACAGCTGTGGACACAGCAGACTAAGATTCCTGCCTCATGGACATTACACTTGGGGGTGATGGGTGAGGACRGCTGCTAAAGAAAATAAAGAGGCTGAGTGATTAGCACTACCCAAAATAGGGAAGTGGAGAGAAGTGGGTTGTGTGTTTAGACTTTCTGCAGTGGCTAGGGATAAATTATAGCCAAGAGTAAAGACAGAGGAGGTGGGAACATGCTAGGTGGAGTCTGGGAGTGGTCAGCTCCTTGGCAAAGGCCCAGAGGGGGAGAGGAGCCTGGTGAATTAGAAATGCAGTAAGGACATGTCCTCAGCCGGGCCCTGCTGCCTTCATTCCCAAGTTCAGTCATTTCTTATTAACTGACTTCTGGGACAGCCCCACGGGAATCCGGGTTTTTCTCAAGTTCATGATATGGAGTTTGAGAAAAATATAGAAAACTGTGTTTTTCTATTATTCCGACTCACAGTGTTGGTCTGCCCAGCTCCAAACCCATAGAAACAATCTACTAGGGACCCTGATAAATACTTAGTGACCCCCTCTGAGGACTATAGAGGCAAAACCAACTAGAAGTGCAGAATTAAGGGAAGTGAGGGCTTTTCTGAGAATCTTTCTGGCTCTTGGGATGACTCAGAGTATGTGTCCCTGAAATGGACAATATTATGCAAACAATGAAGCAGGGTAGGAAAATCAGAAGGTCTCACAAGTGTGGGTAGGAGGGCAAAGGGGAGCTCTACCCCTTTGCCAAGGACACAGGGGTGGGCAGGTTGGATTGGTGTATGAGGCCTGGGCTTGCGTTCCGCCAACTTTTGCTCTCTGTTCCCCTGAATCTTTTGCTGAGGCATAGTGCCGTCATCAGCACCTTCAGCACTTCCAGGCCAATACAGCTGTCCCTTAGTATCCACAGGGATGTGTTTAGAACTCCTTTCCTGCACCCAAATCTGCAGATGTTCAAGTCCCTTACCTAAAATGGCACAGGATTTATATATAATCTATATGCATTCTCTTATATACTTGAAATTGTCTCTAGATTAAGACCTAATACCATGTAAATATTGTTATGAATAGTTGTTACACTGTATTGTTTAGGAAATAAAAACAAGCAAATAAGTAAATAAGTCTGTGTATGTTTAGTACAGACTTAATATTTTACCATCAATGATTTCAATCCATAGTTGGTTGAATCCACAGATCCAGAACTTGCAAATATAGAAGACTGACTGTATACTCTTCTTAAAAACATCTGCTGGTTGACTAGGTCCTCAAGATTCCTTTCAAGACCTTAGCAAGGCACACAATATAAAACCACCCTGTCCGTTTCCCTAATCTCATCTCCTGTTCCTCCCCTTGCTGCGCCAGTCAACTTTAAAACAGGCAAAAAAAAATTACTAGGTATCCTTTCAATAGAACACTATTGAAAGTGTTCCAGGATATGTGATTCTATAGCGGTCAGTACCTTTCATTATCTTGAACTAAGCTATTTCACAACTTTGTAAGTTGCAGAAAACTGATCAAGATACAAATGATTCATGATTCTTGTTCAGAGAGATGCAAATGAATTTTATCTGGTAGAACTGCAATTGATTCCCAATCCTCTGTGGAAGAGGCCAGTTTTTTTTAGTTGTTGATGGACCTTTATTTTATTTTATTTGTGGAGCTAAGAATCAAACCCAGTGCCTCACACATGCTAGGCAAGTGCTCTACCACCGAGCCACAACCCCAGACCAAGAGGCCAGTTTTATGTCATTTGTCATTTGCAAATTCGTCTCAGCATTCCTGATTGCTTATATACTTTTACATCTTATAGGTCTCTATTAATTAACGAACGGAATAAAACCTTTAACATGTGTTCACTAAAATCTTTACACCAGAATCATGATTTTACTTTAAAAAAAGAACCAATCATCTCTTAATGTGCCCTAAAGATGTAACCACTTGGAGTATCTCCAGCTTCTTTACCATAGTCTTTCATTTTCACTTTTGCCCTTGCTATTGCTTCTTCCAGGAATCCCAAATTGCTTTTTGTCCACATTTAATATCCAGCTCAAATATCACCTTCTCTGTGCAATTTTCCTCTTCTCCCTGGGCAGAGTTGATTGCCCAAAGAGCACCTAATCCACTGTAAATTCCAACATGGTTTCTGTTGTATGCAAATTATTTTATAGGTCTGTCTCTACCATTAGACCTTGGGTTCTGCATAACACGGGCTATGTCCTATTCACTTTTGAATTCCCTGTGCCTAGCGCACCACCTGGCAAGGTGGTACTGCACCCATGCACATAGGAATAAAGAATAAAGTGCCCAAAAGTATGACTTTTTGGTGTTTGTGGAGTTGAGAATTGGGTACCTTATTTGGACTTAGTTGTTACAAACTTCTGGGTCAGGATGACTAGGAGATAGGCATAGAAGATTTTAAAAATTCAGTCCCTTATGCAGAAGCCAACCCTCTACTATCCCACCCCTACTTAAAAGTCGGAGGCTCTGGCAAGAAGGAAGCATAAGTCAACTCAGAATATAAACCCAGTACCCAGAGTCCTGCCCATGACCCCCACCCACTGTGGGAACTGAAGCAGAGTGGCAGGGCATAAGTCTTCTTGACACTTGGATGAAAGTGCCAGCCAGTTGTCATGTATTTTTATTAAAATGGAACTAAAGCCTTGTGGGCAGTGTCTGTAGAAACACACCACACCCTGGGCACCCAGTATAAAATTTAGCAGGTGGTGACCGCTTCTCATATACCACTCTCATCAGAACTCCAAGATTGGCAGATGCTTTTGGCAGCAGAGAAGACAAAGTGGACCAAAGAGCTAATCCCCTTTGGCAGATTTCGTGGGTTCAAATGCTCAGGGTCACTCTACCTGGACAAACAGGACTACAGAAGGCCTTCACCCTATGTCCCTCCCTAATTTCCTATAAAGTAAACAGGGTGCCGTGGGATTGAGGGCCGGACTGCCTAAAATTGCCCATAATTCAGGCTCTTTCACAAGAAAGTCCTTGGGCAAGCAATGTAGTTCTCTGCGCCTCGGTTTCCTCATCTGCAGTAGTAATGATACCAACCTCTTAGGCTGGCTGTGAGGATGAAGTGACTTAACTGAGAACACATGTGGAGCATAGTTAGTGCCTGGCATACAGCAGCGTTCACTCACTCAGCGAATACTCAGCATCGTTAGGTTCTGCTCTGGGACCTGCCTTGCCTTACCAAGGGAAGGAGATGGCATCGTTACCTCACTCTCGGCCATTCTGCTTTCTTTTCCATCATCAGCTCCTTCTTGGTCTCTGTCAGCTCTCTTGGTTTTGTTTTTCTCACTCTGCTTGGATGCAGCACCCTCGGGGGCCCTGGTGACCTTGGGCCCTAGCCCATCTTCCTTGCCAGAGTCATCAGGGTGGAGGTGTCTGCTTTCCCGCAGCCTGGCCTCCTCTTTCCTCCTGGACCTCCCAGGGGCGTCCTGCTGCTTGAGGTACTTGTCCGACTTGGCCTTGGGCTCTTTCCGGTAGTGGCCTTCCTCCCGGCTTTTGTAGCTGGATGCGGAGTGGAGGGGGTTGGGGGACCCAGACCTGGGGTACTTTTCCCGGTAGCCCCTCCCTCCTTCAAGTCGCTCGTCCAACTCGGCTTTGTCCAGCTGTCGGGGGTAGTGTTTGCGATCATGTGCCCATGTGTCCGTCCTGTCCCTCTTGTCGTCCCCGTTCTCCCTCCAGGGGACTGGGTCTCTCTCTTCCTCCCTCCTGGCAAAAGGAGAGTGCTCCCATGAGTCCCGGCCATTGCCCCAGTCCCCGCGGGAGGGGCCTGGAGGACTGTGGGAAGAGCTGCAGGAGGTGAAGCTTGGCGTGTGCGACCTTGGGGACAGTGACCGGCTCACGGGACTGCGAGACCGGGGACGTTCTGGGCCATATCTGTGAGGGATCAAAGGAGCGGGATTTAGAATCTGCCTGTTGCCCACCCCGTCCCACCCCCACCTGACACTGGCATTCTCAGTCTCTCCCATGGATACACTGGGCACAACCCTACCCAGCTGGACACTCTTCAGTCACAACTGTCCAGGACCACAGGACGTGGTCCAAGAGAAGACCTGTCCTGCCTACTGGCTTCTACGAGGAGGGACTTTCCCTAAGCACGGTACTGGCCGCTCTCTGCCCATTGGTCATTCTGCTCCTGGGAAGAATAATTGGATTGGTTTAGTTCGGCCCTCTCCTTTTTCCTCTTGGAAGTGAGCTGTGCTCAGAGACTCAGGGATTCTCATCTTAGGGCTATGGGTGTGGGGGCTAGGGGTCTGAGATTGTCCTGGTCCAGCCTGGGTAAGGCTGCCTAACCCTGGCATTCAATTAGCCAGTCCTTTTATAAGACTTGAAGCCACCCCTCTATCAGAATATAAGTGACGTCTTGGCTTCTATTTTTCTCATTTAGTGCTTATCTCAATTTGTGAAGATTCTGGGCATGGTAGAGGGATGCTAATTTGTTGGTGAGTGGCAGTGGGGAAGGGTAAACTCAGAAATTTCAAAAACAAAGAATTAAGCAGGTATTGAAGGGTTGAAGGAGACCTCAAAACTAGAACCTTCTTATATTTGAGATCAAGAAACCAAAACCCAGATAAAGATCCCAACCTGCCTAATCCCCCTCTACTCTATCACAATACTGCAGGCTGCGTGATATGGCCTTACATATGTTGGTTAAAAACCCAAATAACCACAAATTTTTAAAAATACACAAACATTTTAAGCATGAACACTTATCACACATACACAGATACGCTCTAAAGCCTGGTTATTAAGCAAACCAACTGAGCCATATGCCTGATATCCTAAAAGGGTGGACAATTTTCATTTGGTTCTCAAATGTTGGACAACCATGAAGCTCTTACTGGCCAGGGGATCATGCTGCCTTGACCATCATGGAAGACAAACATTTGGGCTCTGACCTCTATAGTGAGGTTAGAGCGCCATCTGTGGCATCCCTGGGTAAGAACTACAGACTGTGCTGGCCCCATGACCACTCTTGCCTGTTGCCCATGCTGATTGTCTTCAGGACTATCTTTAAAAGGGAGTGACCCTTATCAGCTTGTAGCTGCAGCTTTGCCTGGTCATCAACTTCAACTGGAAGAAATGAGTTGGAAAAATGCACGCATTCAATGTTCAGAGTAAGTGTGCAAGTAGCTGTTTTTTTTGAGACCATCGGCATTCTTTTTCATCTGTCTATATTCAGCTCATGAAAAACCAAGAGCTGGCTCTAAACAGAAACCATACCCTCACATACACGCCCACACATAAGCACACATGCACATGTATGCTCAGGCTGCTCTAGAAGAGCACAGATTGCCTCAAAGGGCCATGTATTAACAGGCCTTTTGTTTTATTCCTACAAAGGAAAAATAGCCTAGCATTTTGCATTCCGTTGCTGTTAAACCAAGCAGCACTTTTGAACTAGTGCTTTTCATTGGGAACATGGACAGGTAGAATCCAGAAGGGCAAGTGGATAGGACAGGAATGAGGATAGGGCATGGTGTGACTCAAATCCCCTTAACAATGAGAGACAGGAGAGTGTTCCCACTGCCTTGAACTGCCCTGAGACCCAAAGCCTCACCTGTCTGCTTCCCGGAACATGTCCCTCTCTCTCTGGGAGTGGATATCCTGGATGATAGCAGCCACGGTTTTTCCAGGTTTCTAGGCAAAATCAGAGAGATCACTATCAGATCAGAGATGGCCTCACCAATGCCAGAGGGCAGCAGCAGTGACTCTGGTACTATAGACCACCAACGGGGGAAAGTGCCTTTCATGAGGAAGAAAAAAAGGCCTAATCCAAGCCATGAGGAGTGTGAGCACCATGTGGAACGGGGCAGGGCTGAGGTCCTGAGAATGTGGCATCCACGGAGCTGGGGATAAAAGGAGCCCAAGTTCACCACCCACATGCTAAGGATAAGCAGTGTTCCTTAATCCCCATCTCCTTCCTCCCAAATTAAAAAAAAAAAAAAAAAAAAAAAAAAACTTCAAACATGAGGGAGGGAGGGAGGAAAAGGAGAGACATTATAAACTTGGAAAGAGACTTGAAGGTCACTGAATGCAGCCTCTGCCCACAGGCTCCTGCATACCTCCAGGCTCACCAGCCACATTGTGTCCCATGCAGATGGTGACTCCTGGAGTTGAGTRGGGCTCAAAGTCAGAGAGTTAAAGAATCCTGAACTTGACAACCGACACTTCACCTCCAGGTTCCTTTCCATGCTGCGTGGCCCCTTCCTACCTTATTCCTGTGTATCCATACATAGGAATGACTTGGTGCTCAAGGTACATCTGTGAGGTGGGCATGGAGGGCTGTTTCACAGATGAAAATGCCAGGCACCCAGAGGCTCGTCCCTTTCCAGATCACTATGTGCTGGCTGTGCCTGGACAGGACCAAACCAGTCCCTGAATCTTAACCAAAGCCCTTTCCTAAGCTCTGAGTGGACAAATAACAACAAAATAATAAAAAATAAATGCTTTCAAAATATAAATTTATGAGCACCAAAGAAAAGGCAGAAGCATTTCTCAAAAGACTGAATAATTCACCCATTTAATAAACATGTATTGAGCAGGGTGACTTTTATGGTACATGTTATGTTTCAATAAAGCTTATTAAAAAAAAAAAACAGGACTAAAAACCCTCAGTGTATAATGGCAGACCTGATAAAGATTTTTATTGAGAAATTTAATCAGTTTTTTTTTCAACTGGGGTGTTCTAGCACCAAGCTATATCCCAAGTCCTTTTTTATGAGGCTGCCCTTGAACTCGTGATCTTCCTGCCTCAGCCTCCTGAGTAGCTGGGATTTCAGGTATGCATCATGGTACCCAGGCTCTCAAGTATTTTTTTTTTCCCATGTAATTCCAAGAAACCTTAAGTCACTCAAACTTCATGAACCATCATGTATCTCACTTTATGGATAGGGAAGCCAGGTTCAGAAAAGTGATGTAGCTGGAACTAGAATCCTGTGAGTACTCTCAGAGCTCAGCGGCTAACCTGTGTTACTGTAGAGACTGAGGCCCCAACTGGGAAACATGCAAAGGAAAGGGGAGAATGAAGGGGGAACTGCCTACGGCTTCGGGCTGAGAGGTCCATGCTAGGACACAGGGAAGAGGTATGCAATGTTCCATTCGGGGAGGGATCTCTTGTCAACTGAAGATGCAAAAGGAAAGAAAGTGGAAGAGAAGGCAGCTGACCCCACCCCTGTGGTGTAAAGACACAGGAGGTCAAGAAACCAGCCAATTCCTGCTTGACAGTAGGTCCAGGAACTTAGCACTACTTGGATCAGCCACTTCAAAAGGCACCTTGTAACTTGGATGAGTGTCCCTCGATGTCCACCTATAGCTATAAAGGTTGGCCCTTTATGGGAATATGAAAAGTGCCACTTCTACTAACTAGGTCACTCAGAATGTGCACAGTCAACCAGGACCTCACCCATTTGAACTGGGCCACAGAGCGCCCAGGCATGAGCAAGGAAAGAGACTGGGCTACTGCCCTGGGCTGAGAAGCCTGCTGCCCAAGCTGCCCCCGTCTCCCTCCACCCCACCATCCCACTTAAGATCACCGGTTCTTCAGCCTGGGTGATTGGTCACCTTCCTGCAGTAGAAGGGACCACACAGTGGAAGCTGGCTACTGTATCGTCAAGGGAAAGGCCAGCTGGGATGCTGCTTCACAGAAAGACCCACTGCAGTGCTGCCCTCACGCAGGCCAGCGCTTGAGGAGCAGTGGAGCTTGGAAAAGCCAGTCGGAGCCATGGGGACCAAGTCCATGCGATGAGATTTGCCATCACTTCTGAGGTCCACATCCTAGGTCTCAAATCTGAGGTCCACGCTACCAAGACAGAATCGCAGGCAAAGGCTAAAGAAGGAACCCCAAACTGGGTAAAACATACATGGCAACTTTTCAGAATATAAAAGTAAAAATCCCCTGAGGAGGTTAGATTAGGGGACTTTTGTCCAAGGTCCCAACTATCTTCTGCTCTTTTGGAACTTCAGATCCTCCTGATCATTCCTTCCATCCCAGAGCCAGGGGAGCACAAAGACTCCCATGGAACAGGTGCCCCATAACACTGGCTCCAAGATGAATGGCTGGAGAAACAGAGGCATGGAGATGCAGGAAATTAATTGGCAAGACAGAATGCAAATAGTACATGCTGGGGCTAGTGACCACAGGCATTGTGTCCCCTCCAGAGGATCAGAGGGTCAGTTCCACTATTAGAAGTGATACTTGCAAACTGTTTGGCACTCTCTGATCCAAACACCCGCCAGCTGCTATCTGAGAAGGGGACAGAAATGACCAAAGATTTTCAAATAACAGAACTGACTTCTCAAAGCTCTAAGAAAAGCCTGTCAACCTTTCTTTCAGGCCAGCTTCTGCATTCTGTGGTTAAAGGTAAAAAGAAGACAGATGAAATAAACCTGTCATCACCTCAGAAAAGTCAAAAAGGGAGAGAACAGAGTAAGCCTATGATACAACTTGGGGTGACTTTTTATTGAAGCAGATTTTGAATATACAAAAATAGAGTGAGGTATATGGAGCTCCGTAGACCCCTTACCCGTCTTCAACAATTCTGTTCAATCTTTTTTGCATCTGTACCCCCACCTATTTCCCCACCCCCTAGATTATTTTGAAGCAAATCTCTGATGTTATTTTGTTTTTTCATCTATCCTGTGAAGACACTGATGCAGCCCAGCAACCACACAGGGAACACCCATGGTGCTCACAATCCACACATCTTGCTGCTTCTAAGACAGGATGAGATTCCAAGTCCCATGTCATTCCAGGAAAGTGCTGGCTTACTGAGAGGGAGACACCATGACTTCAAATCTCAACTCAGAAAGAACAGCCCTGGCTCTACCTCCAGCTGCAGGGTGACCTAGGGTCAAGGCTGGGTGCCTGTGAGAGACTCACTTTCTCCACCTGTAAAGGTGGGATAATGAGGCCCATCTGTCATCAACCAAAAGCCACAGGGCATGGCAGGCTGCACCCATGAGAGCTGTGGAATGCTTGCAACACAGGAGGAGCTGCTGGGGAGTTTTATGTCCTCAGGCCGCTCCACAACTGTGGTTCATAMCTCCAGAGTCTTGGGAAGATGCTGAGACCTTCCAGGTGAGCCAGAACCCATCAGAGCTAAGTCCGACCAAGGCAGACCTTATTGTTTCTGACATTACTGGGCACCCCAGCCTCTCCATTTCCTCTCTCCTGACTTCTTCTGCCTAGAAACTCCCTAAGTAGAGGCACCTTGGAAACTTCTCCCTTCTTTTTAAAAAATATTTATTTATTTATTTTTAGGTGTAGATGGACACAACACAATGCCCTTATTATTTTTTTTTTTAATATGGTGCTGAGGATCGAACTTGGGTCCCGCCCATGCTAGGCGAGCGCTCTACCCCTTAGCCACAATCCTAGCCCCATTCTCCCTTCTTTATGTTCCTAAATCACACAAAGTTTTGACACTGAACTTCTAGTAGCTCCCATGCTTGTGGACTTATCTTTAAATCTTGTATCATTTTACACTAGAACAACTTGTCTTCCAGTTAGATAGTAAACCCTCCCCAAGTGAGGCCCATGTCTCCTATTCATCACAACTGTTAGTATCATATTGTACACAGAGAAGACCCTCAACCACCAATTTCCCAATTCAATCTTCCCAACTGAGAGCATCATGGGCCACTCATAAGACTGCGTCTCATGACCAGAGGCTGGCAAGGCCAGTGGCTCTGAAACCAGGACCTCTGCCCACAGAACCTAAGACTGTCTGTCAGTCCCACCCCAAACCTACTGAATGAGAATCTGAGCACAAGGACCCACCCCCCGCCCCCACACACACCCAACAACAACTCTTGGATGCGGTAAGTAGAAGATGGTGGTTTAAATTCTATACTGGAGACACTGTGATTCTATACTTATTGAAGAAGTCTCCAAAAAACAACCCAGCAACAAGTCCAGTCATCTTGTCCTGGTCTGCAGTGAGGACAACACTCCTTCAGAGGTGGTCTTTCCCCTTCATTCTGCACCTATTACATGGGCACCTGTTATATGAAAAGCTCTGCCCAAATCCCCTGAGGAATAGAATCCCTGCTTCAAAGAGAGAACGGAGAAAGAAGATATGGGCAAAGAAAATAGCAATCAGAAGAGATGACAATACTTTAAAACCTATCCTTTCTCTCCCTGCACTTTGCCTCATGAGAAAAAGGCAAAGTTGGAGCAGAATGAGGAATCAAAATTTGCCCCCATGGGACAGGATGTGGTAAACCCTTTGACCCAGAGACACATGGGGATGTGGCATTTTGCCATCTGCCTGCCTAGTAGCCATTCTCCTGCCTCCTGGTAGGAACTGTTCCAACGCCATCTCACTCCAGAAGTCTGTGTAGGTCTCCTGGCTCTGAGGATGGAGCAGGAGATGCAGCCAATCCAAGTATGGTCTTCCCCCGGGCCACGGAGATAGGCTCCGGGGTAGGCACATGCACTAAACTAAAGCAATCAGAGTGACTCTTAGGACTCTTACGGGAGCTACCAGGAAACCACCTGGCTCTCTCTTGTTGAAGGAAATGGGGACATGAGGGCCAGAGCTGTTGAAGGCACTGAAGCTATCATGCCATCTAGAGGAGAGAGACTGGGGCTGCTAAGGGCCATCACAGGAGGCACCCAAAAACCAAAGCCAAGACAGCAAGAGGCAGAGAAGAGAGAAACCAAGTTCTAACGATCTCATGCGGGTACTGAATCCAGCCATACCTGCAGCCAGAGCTACTCCTGGACTTTCATTTACATGAGGCAATAAATTCCTTGTTTATTAAGTCAATAGACCCAATTGGAATAGTTTCTTCTGCTACACACAGAGAGAATTCTTGCTGATTCATGTCAACTGAAGGGCATAAAGACTGCATTGCTTTGTAGTTGAAATATGCTTTGAAATACTATCATGTAAATTATCCCATGAGACCTTCACATTGACCCTGAGAAGCAGTGTGATAGCATGGGGAGAAAAGCCCTACTGAAGATCACAAAATGWTGTGTGCTCAGAGGACCAGGAGCATCAGCATCTACTGAGAGCTTGTTAGAAATGCCTTGCCCTAGACCTGCTGAATCAGAAATGCATTTTGACATGAACACCAGGTAATGTGCATGCACCTTGAAGTTTGAAAAGTTCTGTTAGAATGCTATCTCTGCTATCTCTCTCCTGGATGGGTGACTATGAGCAAATTACCTATTTCTTTCTCCATTTTTTTTTTCTTGTGTGGACAATGGAGATCATAACAACCTAATATAACAATGTAGGCAGGGTGCAAAACCAAAACAGTGCTGAGTTTTAATCATAGCTCTTCCAGTAACTGTGATCTTGGGCAAGTTACTGAACTTCTATTAGCCTCAGTTTCCTCATCTATAAAATTGAGATAATAATACCTGTCTGACAGGGCTGACGTCAAGATTAAAGTAGATAATGTATGCAAAGTGCTTGGTTCATCACCTGCCCCAGAGTACCAGGACTCAATTAAAGGTGCATGTTATTCTTATACTCTTGTAATTACTATTATTATCCACCCTGCATTCTTCATAGGGTAGGGTGATGTGAGGCCCAAAAGTATATAAAAAAAATTCTTTTTGCTTAAAATCAAGAAACTCAAGGGATAGTAAATTCCTCATCTGGATACTGAGGTTCACAGAGGTCATGCAACTTGTTTAAGCTCATCAAAGTGGGCAGGGGCAGAGCCTTTTTGGCACTACCACCCTCCAATCTGGCCTGGCTCACAGGGCTAGCTATGGTTCTTTGTTTATATGTCTTTCCTCCTGCCAGACTGAGCGCCTCATAAACTTGCTCCATCTATGTCCATGGCATCTGGCCTAGTTCCCACCCACAATGGGCACTCAATGAACATCTGCTGAATGCCAACTTGAACCCTTTGACCTCTTTGACCCATAGTTTTTGCATCACCCCAACTCCAAACTATCTCCCTTGGTAAAGTGCCTTTGTACTTTAAGAAACTGATTGCTGTTGTTCATTCTAATTAGAAACTCATGATGACATCTCATTTGGACACCAAAGCTCCTCTGGGAACACAATGCACAAACTCAATTTCAGCTCCCAGGGGAGAAGCCAAGAGAACAGGAGCTGGCATGGTACAGAACAGGGTGGGATCTTGTACTTGTCTGATGCTTTCATTAGGGTTAAAAAAAAAATGGCAGGTTCTGCCTATTGGCGAAGAAACTTCAGAGGCAATAATGCAAGCAAAGCAGAATCAAGACTTGGGCGACCGGTTGACATATTCCCCTTCTACATATATAGACTTGTCGGAATGCTAGTCCTAGCTACATACCACTAAGCCTTTGTCTTCTGACTTCAACCTTGAAGATTAAGGGCAGATTAAGGACGGTGAGTCTTAAACAAAATGGACCCTTAAGTAAACACAGAATGAGCCTAAATGCCTGGAAAAATTCCTATTAAGTGGAACAGTAGAAAGCACAAACTCAGAGGGTAGATTTCAAAACAAATACAACATTAACTACAATAAATCCAATGGACTAAATGCTCCAGTTAAAAAGAACTCTTGCCCATCAATCAGAAGACAATGCAAAAGAAAAGCATGGGTAGATGGCTTTAAAACAGTAACMAAACAACAAACCAAAAACAAACAAAAACTTCCCACTAAGAAGATCCAGATGGAATAGTCAATAAAYATATGAAAAAGCAGTCAACCCCAGGCGATCCTCAGGGTTATACAWAATGACATATAAGAGGAAAGGAGGGGTAAGACAAGATAATACAAATCGAAGACATGATTTACAGTAGAAGGGGTAGAGAGAGAAAAGGGGAGGGGAGGGGAGGGGAGGAGAGGGGGGATAGTAGAGAATAGGACAGACAGCAGAATACATCAGACACTAGAAAGGCAATTTGTCAATCAATGGAAGGGTAACTGATGTGATACAGCAATCTGTATACGGGGTAAAATTGGGAGTTCATAACCCACTTGAATCAAACTGTGAAATATGATGTATTAAGAACTATGTAATGTTTTGAACGACCAACAATAAAAAAAAAAAAAAGCAGTCAACCCCAAGCAGTCAACCCCAACCAGTCATCAGGAAAATAAAAATAATGGTAAACCTGACACTGTCCCCAGACAGGCAGAAACTATGTACACATGTACCAAAATGACACATTTATGAAGGATAGCAGATTGTCCCTAATACGCTAAAACTAGAAAGAATTCAAATGTCCATCAACAGTAGAATGGATTAACAAACTACACAGCCATATATCAGAAATGTATATACAATGAGAATCCCCCACATACCCAACAACATGGAGGACACATACTGAATGAAAGAAACAAAACCCGAAACATGATTTTATGTGATTTCATTCACATAAAGCTTAAAAATAGACAAAACTTCAGCTTTTCACCATTGAGTACTGTTTAGGGAGTCGTGAATGGGTATACAATCAGCACAGAAATGATTATTATTGTCTAAGTCAGGAGTGTGAAGAGGCAAGACCCCAGCAAGAGGAAGGACTCTCAGGGGCTCCTGGGTACTGATCAAATTCTTTCTTGACTTAGGTAGTGGTCTTATGGTATTTAGGAGATTTCACCAAATATTATTTTTTACATTTTATGAAATGTAATTAGCCACTCTGCTGTATGTTATACTTCTCAATAAAACAGAAAAGTTTTGGGTGCCGTGTCGCACGCCTATAATCCTAGCAGCTCAGGAGGCTGAGGCAGTAGAATTGCAAGTTCTAAGTCGGCCTCAGCAAAAATGAGGTGCTAAGCAACTCAGGGAGACCCTGTTTCTAAATAAAGTTCAAAATGGGGCTGGGGATGTAGCTCAGTGGTTCAGTGCCCTTGAGTTCAATCCCCAGTATCCCCCCACCCTCCTGCCCCTCCCCCCCAAAAAAAACAGGAAAGAAAGGAAAAAACAAGAAAGAAAGAAATGCAGAACAAGGTAAAAACAAAATTGAAGAACTGTTTGGAATTATTTCGATTAATCCATGAGTTCTTCCAGTGGCCGGGTTAGTCAGGTGCTGCCTTAGAAGACTTCTGTGCAGCTTAGGACATAAGTATGGAGAGGGAAGAAACAGTGAGAAATCAAGGGTGGTGATAGGCAGAGAACAGTCACTGAAGGCCTGTGTAYGCAGAGCAGAAGCTGTCTTCAGGGTTTATGCCTACCTCCCCCCACCAAAAGGCAACCACCGGTCCCACTGACTTCCTCCTTTGAGACTTCCCTTGTAAACATCTTCCCCTGTAAAACCATCCTTCGCCCCTGTAGCCTCAGACAGCCCTTTGCATTTGGCACTTACCTCAATGAACACATTTCTTGCTGCCTTTCCAAGTGATATCCTCAAAGGGAGTGAGTAATTTTTTAAATCTCTTCCTATACTCTCCTTCCAACAGCACTTAGGTCAGTGTCTGGCAAGTAGGAAAAAGTCAGCTGCTGCTTGTTGAATGACTGAATGAATGACAGGATGCCTTACCTTCAGCTGTAATTCCTTGTATCTCTTGGACATCCGAATGAGCAACTTCTCACCATTGATCACCGCAGATTTTTCTTGATAATACTGGACCATGGCCTGGGCAGCTTCTGTGTAAGCCATCTCTAAAAAGGCCTAGAAGAGAAGACAGGAAGGTCTCGACTTCACTGGTCTTGAACAAAATTCTATACGTAGTATGAGTCCATGTGAATGAAGTTCAACACCATTTAACTCAGCTATCCCACTCCTCGGTTTATACTTAAAGGACTTAAAAACATCATACCACGGGGACGCAGCCACATCAATGTTTATAGCAGCACAATTCACAATAGCTAGACTGTGGAACCAAACTAGATGCCCTTCAGTAGATAAATGGATAAAGAAAGTGTGTACATATACACAATGGAATATTACTCAGCATTAAAAGAGAATAAAATCATAGCACTTGCAGATAAATGGATGGAGCCGGAGAAGATAATGCTAAGTGAAGTTAGCCAATCCCAAAAAAACAAATGCCAAATGTTTTCTCTGATATGAAAATATTGATATATAATGGGGCTTGGGAGAGCATGGGACAAATAGATGAACTTTAGATAGGGCAAAGTGGAGAAAGGGRAGGGAGGGGGACATGGGGGTAGGAAAGACAGTGGAATGAGATGGACATCATTACCCTAAGCACATGAATGAAGACATGAATAGTGTGAGTCTACTTTGTGTACAACCAGAGAAATGAAAAATTGTGCTGTATATGCATAAGAAAAAAAGAAGAGGCATATAAAAAAAAAAAAGAATAGGCAAAACTGATGGTGACAAAAGTCAGAATTGAGTTTCTTTTTGGAGTGGGGGCAGGAAGATGACTGGCAAGGGCCATAAGGAAAACCTTCTGATGTTCTGAAAATGTCCTGTGTTTTAATTACATGGATGTACATATGTTTAAAAAATAAGTAATGAAGTTGTATACTTAAAACTAGTGTATTTTATACACTTGAGAGTATCTACTTTATAACTCCATAAAAAGAAAAAAAATCAGTATAAGGAAGAACTCTCTTTGATCTCATCTGTTCAAAGAGAACTTTTTATTAACTTTACCCAAAGAGCTCATTACAAGATGGCCCCTCCCTCTCCTGATCTCCCTGGTTACCAAATTATTCTTAATTATGCATGTCCGTCCTGGGCTAGATCATGCCATGGAAGCCCCTCTGGGATGGGAGGGCCCATTAACACGAGCTCCTGGTTGGAGGGCTGTTGCCCATGTGACCCTGGGCTGCTCTTTGGTGATGACAGCACAAGACAGAGGCACAGGCCAAGGCTGCTTGAGTCCTCACTCTTCTTACAGAGAAAGAAATATATTCAAAACCTTGGGCCTCACAAGCCCTTGGGCTTGAAGGAAGGCTGGGGCACTGTGAATTAGAGAAAGGGAAAGACCCAACCATGTTTCCACCGCATCTTTCCTCTTTATCTGTTCTGATAAAACACAGAGAGAAATTGCCTTTCCGCTCCATCTGTGTCTACGGAGTTTCTACACAGACTGTTTTGTTCCCTCTAGCAGCTGCTACAGTAAGGTTGCTGCTGCTATGGTCTCTTAGATTCGTTTGGTTTGCACTATTCTGGGATATACTGATTCTGCCTCTCTTTGTTGAGAGGGAAAAGTGGTCTGTGGCCAGGGAGCTCTCATAGGAAGCCCATAATTCTCCCATTTTCTGAACTGAATGGGTGAAGCAAACTCATTGCCCTTCCTTCCCTCCCATTTATCGGCTGATCTCAGATGCGTGGTTTTCCTTCAGATTGTCACAATCTATGGCAGAAGTGTGTGCAACTAAAAAGTCAAGATTCTTTGGGGGTTTATTTCAAATTCTGCACCTGGCTTTTTCTCTTGCTTAATATAAACATGTTAGCACCTCTGTCTGTCATTTCTGAACTGGGAATAAAACTAATCTAAATAATCTCACTGTATTATTGTTGCAAGTGGAATTTTGTACATTTACCCAAAATAGAATTCCTGAGCAGTAGAAGGAAACACAGAGGCTCAGTGGTCTATGTCCAGGTTGAAGGAGGAAGGGCACTGATAATCTGCTAGGGCTTTAAATCTCCATAGTTCATGCCTTAATTGGGAACATGATTTCTCCTCTGCATGTTCCTTGGATTCATAAAGCAAACATTTTTATTAAAATAAAAGGTAGAGAGAAGTGATGGGAGGGGAGGGGAGGGTAAGGGGGGATAGGAAGGGCAGCAGAATAAAATAGACATTATTGCTGCTGTATGTATATATGTGACTGTATGACCAATGTGATTCTGCAACCCATACAATCAGAAAAATGAGAAATTGTACCCCATTTGATTCAAATGTATGAAATGTCAAGATCATTGTACTGTCATGTGCAACTAATAAAAAAATAAAAGAGAAAATATTCTGACTTTTGACCACTCAATGTATATATAGTCCCCACTCCCATTCTGACTTTAAAAATGAAGACGAACATATTCAGTCCCCAAGGGCTCCGTCAATTCCTACAGGTTAAGCATTTTTAGTTCCTTAGACTTAGGAGGCCTCCATTAATTCCCTCCTGCTCTCCTGCTCAGACCCAAGGGCCTCACACTATCACACTGAGGACAGTTCTTGGCTGACTCCAAACCTGAGCCATCAGGGAATAGCTTTCCTATGTTGGTGAGCACCTCATCCAATTGCACCTCCCCTCCCCTCTAGGCAATTTGTAAAGGCATACGCTGAACACAAGAAGGGCAGTGGGATATCATGAAACAAAACAGCCCCACAAAAATGTCTGCTGTGAATCACCTCTTTATGTCAAGAACAAGCTTAAAAAAAAAAAAAAACAAGAAGAAGAAAAAGTATACATTCCCTTTTCACCAATGTGTAGATTATCCTGTGCCCCCAGAGTGAAAGTCCCCAGGCCTACCTGGTTAGTCGACTTCATGAGGATGTAATTAGTGACCTTTCCAAAGGGCAGCCCCAGGTTAATGACGTCATTCTCAGTACAGCTTCCTTCAGGGAGATTGCAGATATGCACCACACGGCCAGCACCTTTCCGTTGTGCAAACTGATAGAAAAGAGCAGTGGCTAGTCTTCAAAGACATTTCCCTTGACCCCTCTATTGCAGATATTCCTAATGGTTATCTTCCCCCAAATAATGATTGCAACATGATCATTTACAAAATCAATGCAAAAAAGGATTTTGTTTGCAGGCCTACATAAAGTATCAATTCTAAACCATTTCTTTTCAAAAAGGATTCACATTTCTAAAAAGTAATAACATCCAGGGCTGGGGAGGATACAAGGAAATGGGCATATCCATATGTTGCTGGTAGGGGGGTTGTGTGTCTACATTCTTTTGAGAATATACTTTCTCGGTGATCCTACCATCCTAATTTTGGAAATCTTTCTTACAGAAATTAAAACAATGCAGACTTGTGTACAAAAAAATTACTGTAGTACTTTATGGTGTGGTTAAAAAAAAAAGTTTAGAAACATCCTATATGTCCAACAATAAGGGAAGATTTGAGAACATAATGATTCAAGCATACAGTGGAGAACCACAAAGCCATTAAAAGAAAGGAGGTAAATGTGCCCATATGCAATAATTTTTAAGACAGATCATTAAGTAAAAAATAGGTCGATAATCAGTATGTATACTACAAGGCCATTTGTGTATGTGTGTGAGTGCACGCGTTTGTGTGCATCCTGGGAATTGAACCCAAGGCCTTGAGGCATCTGAAGCAAATGCTCTACCACTGAGCTATACCTCTACCTCCAACCTTTTTTATTTTTTATTTTGGGACAGGGTCTTGCTAAATTGTCCAGGCTGGCCTCAAAGTTGTCATCCTCCTGCCTCAACCTCCTGAGTAGCTGGAATTACAAGCAAATACCACCATGCCTGGCTCTATGATGTCATTTTTGTAAAACAAAACTGTACAAGGACAAGATAAAGAAAGAATTATAAAAATGCTGATAATTATTGGAAGTATTTAATTACCAAGGGTTAACTAGACTGTTCTCTATTGTTTTGTATGTTTGAAACATTTTTGCAGTGAAAACATCTTAAAGGCTCTAGGCACAAAGGCACAGAGTGCACTTATCAAACTGTCAGTGCTGGTTATCTGCAGGGAAGCAGAGTAGGAAGGCAGCAGGGGATACATATTGACTCTGTTTCGTATATACCTCAAATTATTTGACTTACAATTTTAAAAATTTCCAAGAAAAAGAAAAAGGGCATAGAAAAGTTTGTAGGAACTTAATACATTCACAGCAACAATCTGTAGTTTAGAGCACTGGTTTTCCACACATTTTTTTTTTTTTTGCCTTGGATTCCTTTTTTCAAAGAAAATTTTATACACCAGTCCCATATATTCAACAAATAAAAGAGAAACTGTTACAGTCAAACTTTGGGATCCATCACACTGCTACCCCTTGCCCCAGGCACCTCTAAGGAACACAGCTTGGAAGCCACAACCTGGAGGGGAGAAGTGTGTCCCTTAGGCCTGGTGATACCTTAATTAGCCTAGAATCTCCCTGAGCTTCAAAAATTAGTAACCATAAGCCCATCCAACGTGGAAGAGAAGCATACAATTTTCCAAACCTGAAATAGCATAGCTGACATTTGCAGTCACCATTTTCTACAATAAAGTAAACTTCAACATCTCTTACATTTAATGTGGGTCTGACTCTGCCGAGGTAACAGAGGGCACGTTTGAGGTCTCATTCTAATCAAGAGTGAGTACTTGGGTAATTCCATCATGAAAAGGCCTCACTTGTCTCACAGGGCCAAGGACAATTGGAGTCAATGAGAATTTACATTAATGGTTCAGTCCTGAATTGGAGAAGCCCAATTGCCCCTTTCATACCTCCCCCATGATAGCGTTCAAAATGTCAAGCACCTTCCCAAAGGGGAACAAGGAAGGATTCAGTGTGTGGCACAGGCACATCCCCTCCCCAGAACATCCCTTTGTCTTCATGAAGTGCAATGGATTCTCAGAAAGCTGGAAAATTGAGGCTAAGCCTGGGTAGCCAAGACTGAGCCCTTCTGCAGGGATGATGGGAGAAGGGCTGTCAAGAGGCAGGTTCTCTGCCTTCCATTAGGGTGAGCCATTGACATAAAGACGCAGACCCAGCTCACAAGGTTCCAAGCAGAGCTCAGTGGCTGGCTCTCTGAGTTGATTAGCAGGAGGGCTGGGGCTGGGCGTTCTGCCTGGTCTCTTAGCGGGGCACGTTTCTGTCCCATGTGACTTTGCTGTGGTCGGTCTGGGCAACGTGTGCTTGGACAACAGAGCAGACATGCAGGGCAGTTCTGGGCCAATYCCTCTCCTGGCCTGTCTAGTTGCCTAGTGACCAGGCACCAGGGCCAGCACTTCTCTCATTGTCTCCTCTGGCCTGAAAGGAGGACTCAAGAGGTCTTTATCTGAGCACAGCAGAATAAACAGGAATTCACCTCCCAGAGAGTAAACACCCTCCCAGCTGCCAGTCACCAAAGAAGAGAGGAGATGTAGTCATGCTGCAGATGTTGCCAAATGCACTAAAATGAACAGGTATCCATCAGGGGTTAAAACTTTAAAGATACACTCACCTCTCTGCAAGGTTCTAGAAAGTGAGTGTTACTGATTCCCGTGTTGTGGCTTAGTAAGATAATCATGGTATTTTTAGAATTCTTCAGTTAATTATATTAATTTGGAGCTTCTCAACGGGTGAAATGCAGACGGGTTTTACGTATACTTGGATACTGATTCCCTCAGGCAGCAAGCCAAGTACCTCTAGTGCCCAAGAGCAGCTTCTTCAGTTTATCATTTTCTAAGTGAGCCATGAAATGTAAATCTTGAGAACCACTGGATTAACTGTTTGCTCTGTGTTATGTCTGCTTCAGGGGATTGGATAAAGTCTGTCCAATTAGAGAAATTATTTTTATATGTTAAATTCTTTTGCCAATATTTTATTTAGTAAAGTTCAATCTAACTTTTTTTTTCCTGTCATTCATATAAAATATCCTTCTGTTGTTAAATTCACTTTTAGGTTCAGGACCATGTTTGATTCATAAAAAGTGTAGGGTAATAAGTATTATCACTCTATTCTTGAAATAATTTATATAAACAGGGCTATTGGTTGCCTATGCCCTATGGGAGATCTGAATGAGAAGGGAGAAAGGGGGAGACGGGAGAGTGAGGTCTCTGGGTGGTACTTCTACAGTAAAGTTCATTCCTTCCGGGGCACTGACAATCCTAAGTGCTTTTGAGAAAGCAGCATGTTGCTTCGAAGTAATTCCCACCCTGGGTTCTCTAATAAGCCCTAAAGCATTTCTGAAGTTAATAATACAGTAATCCCCCATCACAGGGACTATGTTCCAAGGCCCCCAGGGGATACCTCAAAGCACAGAGAATAAAAAAATGCTTTCCCCCCATATGTACATATGATAAGATTAAATTTATAAATTAGGTCCAATAAGAGGTTAACAATTACTAATCACGAAACAGAACAATTATAACAATATACTATAATAAAAATTATGAATTTATAATAAAACTTTTGAATTGTTTATTTCTGGAATTTTCCACTTAATATTTCAGACCAGAGTTAACCTCGGGTAATTGAAACCACAGACAGCTAAACCAAGGATAAAGGGGAAGTATCAAACAGCAGTGGTATGGGGAGCTAGATAACATTTTTGACATTCAAAAAGCTGAAGTGATGTCATACTTTGAGTTCCTTCACTTTTTTTGTGTGTGTGTGGCACTTTCTTGATATGGTAAATTTGTGTCAAATCAAACTCAATTTGGCCTAMGGAAGCCTCTATACTTGGAGTCCTTACTTAACACCCCACAACCTAACTTAGTAAGTAAACTCACAAAAAGCCCTAGGAGTATACTTTTGTAACAAATAGCTGAGTCTCAACCAATCACAGCCACTGAACTTCAATCAATCAAAGGCAGTCAACCAATTAGAACAGATTCAAATAAAGTAAGTGCCTAGCTATAACCAATCCGCCTGTCCCTTCCTCACTTCCCTTTTCTGTCCATCAATGCTGCTCGCCTACCTCCTGGAGTATAGCTCTCTAAACATGTTTTTGGTTTGAGGATTTCCTGATTTGTGAATCATTCTTTGCTCAGTTAAATCCTGTTAAACTTAATTCATCTGAAGTTTTTCTTTTAACACAACTGAGATCTTATACTGATTGGTGTGTCTGTATCTTTGATTAGTGAAAATAGGTAGTTAATTACTAGTATATTAATTACATTAATATAAGTACTTGACAGATAAAATCTTTCAAAATAGGGAATATGGGACAGGGGCTGCTTGGGGTAAGAGCACAGAATAAAAGGGATGTTGGGCTATCAAAAGCATGGGACTTTCTGATATGAGTGGAAAGAAGCCAATCCTGGAAAACAGAGGACCTGGGTTCCATTCCCAACCCAGCCACTGATTAGGTGCAAAACTAGTTTCCCTTTCTGGGCCTTATTCCCATGTCTGAAATGAGGGAGGTAGCCTATATGTCTAAAGTCTTTTCCATATATAAAAGAACTATGTTTATGGTTCTAAGTTCTTAAATTTCACTCCTCCCAGAAGCCTTGAAGGCTAAGCCATAAGACACAGGATAATGATACCTTTCCCCTTGGGTGCTCAGCATAAACAGGAAAGCCCTGCTGTCCATCACCCACCCAGTCAGTGTGCTGTTCGCCATCTCTCTGTCTGAGCTCAGCTGTTCAGCTGCACATCCACTTACAAACATGTTCACTTTTCAGGCATGCTTGTCTGTGTTGGTGATGATCTCATCTTTCCAGCACTACAGATAAGCTCTAAGTTTATCTTCTTGTTTGTGAGCTCTGCTGCTCTCTAAATCTGCTGCCATGGTGCCCGAGAGAGTTGAGATGATAGATACATTGAGGTGAACTAGACACCCAGGCCTGGTGCTTCTCTGAGTACAGATCCACATCATGTATATGCTTTATAGACACCAGGCACCAGGGTCAGGGCAGCAGGGGAATCAGACAGACCCAAGTCTGTGTCTCTGCTTCCCAGTCACAGAAGGCCAGCATAGGCCAATTACTGAATTTCTCC